GTTAGGGGAGCCTGTTCAGCCAAATGTCCGGCCTCAGTCCAATTACATTTTACCACGCAGATGATTCAAATCATGCAAAGGAAGAAAATTGCAGTTCTTGCATCAATTCAAATCATGCAAAGGAAGAAAGTTGCATTTTTTGCATCACCAGGGGCTTCAAAATAGCACGAATCCATCTTCCAGCATTTTAAGCCGGTTCCAAAAACTTGAGAAAACACAGGATTCTAAAGCGAAAATGGCCCCCCCCCTCCCTAGCTAAAGCTATTGGCTTGCCCAGGCTAGCTTACGTATACTGCGTGCCTTATAAAAACGCCTCGGCACCTTCGGTGCGGGCGGATTTGCAGCCTGCTATGGGCTCGTCCAGGTGCCACAACAACACTAAAAGATGATTTTCGCCGGTTGCAGACACTCGTCACTACTCGCAAGCTGAACATCTGTCCCGCAAAGAACATCGAACTCTTTCTTACGTCTTAGCGAAGTACTTGCATGTCAAGTAAACGAGGTTTTCGAGGCCCATGAATCGAACCATGAGGTGAGGATGGCTGGCTTGCCCCAATCAGGTCGCTGAGCTGGACATTTTTGAGGAGTTCTGAGCTTGAAGAGACAGACGCCTCAGTAAATGGAGATCCTGCTTTTGCTAGATTGTAGGAATAGGCGTTGCTTGGCTTGGCGATTTGCCAATTGAGCGACTTGCTGGCTTCTCAAGAATTGATGCTTGGGAATCTGGGTTTGCACGAACAGGAACTGACAATATGTTCAGAGATGTCAAAATTGTTTAAGGGGCTTCGATGACTGAAGTCTCCAAATTAATTCTTGTGAGCCTTGCCTTTGGCTTCAAGGCCTTGTGGCCTCGTAGCCAAAAAATAGGTTCGGGAGGTTCACTAGCAACCTTACGCCTGCTGCTTTGCTGGCATGCATAAAAGTGAGGAGAGAAGGTGGCCTGTGATGGCCTCCCCATGCTTTGTTGAAAGGGTGGACATTGCAGCAATTGCCGAATTGCCTAGATGGGCTCCCTGCTCATTTGCCAGTTTTTGCTCCCAGCATGCCCCTGATTCATCAACTTGTTCATTTTACAAAAGAGTCACACATAGTCACACTAATGCTGCATTGGAAACCTTCCTAGCCCCTAGTCAAGAGCGCTGAGGCCTCATTGATTTGGAAAATAAACATGCAGCATGATACCATGGTTTCCCAGGGTTCGTATGTTTTCTCTAATAGAAGCATCCTCGAGCTCTCTTCCAGTTCTTTCGGCCATGGCGATTTTCTCCATCTCTCGCGACCTTGGCCCTTTGTTGCTGCTTGTGCTTACGGCCTTTGTGTGGAAGAAACACTTTTACATGCGAGGTCTGACCTACCGAAAAACGGTGGTCCCTGTGAGTCGAGAACGACTCATGAAAAGCATTTTCTATGTGGGATTTCTCGGCAGCATCGATGCAGTTCTTCGACGCTCTGGTCAATTGCTTGCTCGCTTGCCAATCATGGCGCACCTTTTGCCTCGCGAAGCTTCGACCTCGTTTCTCCTGCGCATGTTACTGCTTCACATGCCTTGGGCAGTTTGGGCTTTAAGGGGTCCTTTGAGCGATCGTGGCTCTACTCGCGATGACCATGGCTGGTCAGATACTGTGACCCGCTCCAGGTTTTGGAAAGCTGTTGCCTCCTACTTCGGCTGTCGTATCGTGCTCTCGGAAGAGTGGCGCCAGCTGGATGAGACGCAGCGCCGTCGATGGTACGATCGACACTACGTGCTGGCCTCAGAGTGGGCAATCGCTCAGACATGCATAGAGATGCATGGATCTAACTGTAACCTGATTGTTTTGAACAAACAAGGAATGCGGTAGAAAACACAACGAACACACTAGAACACGCATACTTACACTTGAGCTTGTGTAGCTTCCCCAAAAATCTTCAAGGAAGCATCTTTGGGGCAGGATAATTTTCAATCGCCGGCCCTTCTGTACCCAAGGTAGTAGCGATGGTGCCAAAAAGGGAGAAAGAAGAACACCAGTCAGGGGTAAAGACAAATGAAGAGATACAGTACAGCAAATGAGAAGTTGAGGGCTCCTTCATTCCCTGGCCCTGGCCTTCCTTTCTGTAATCTCCTTCCTAATTAGCTCACTTGATCTACACTAGCTTCTTACTATATAGCCTACCCCACCGACTCCCCACCACCTCCGTCACCCTTCTCCTAACCGAAATCACACTCAGGTGATTGCAATGCACCCGCATGGCCTTTTGCCTTTGGGTGCCATTCTCAATGGCCTCACCTGGGCTGGTGGCGGTTTGCGCGGCATCACTGCCTCCGGAGCTGAACTGCCGGAACCGGCTGCTTGGACACAGAGCACCAGACAGTTTGGTGGAACAGCTCATGGAAAATTTCGGAACTATGATAAGAATGGAAACAACACATGTATCATGTATCAATACAAACAGAACAACTGAGATGCAAATATCCACTTCTTTGGGATAGTTTGTACCGAGAAATGCCCCAGACTGACTTCGCACGCCTTGCCGTCCACCATTTGTGGTCGGTGTGTTGCCATGAGGAGAATGGCGGCAAGCTGCTCCATCAACGTTGGTTCAGGCCGTGAGATGTTTGGCATGTTTGGAAGTGAGTTTGTTTGTGTTTGGACTCGATCCGGGCGATCTGGCTGTTTGTGTCTAGGCATATGAAGCTTCGGGCAGCTGTTGCGCGAGCTCCTCAGCTTGTTGAGTGTATATAGAGCCCTGAATGTTTCCTTCTGGTGAGGTCAGGAGCTTGTGGGCTTTTCCCTGGCTTCTATGAGATGTTCACCACTCTAGGTGCACTGCTTTGTACAAACTGAAGCCAAGGCTTGAAATGTCTGGAAGATGCTGTTTTTTTTGCACAGCCTTTGGACATTTATCTACAGACCATCACGAACCAATTGCTCTAGATTGTTTGTACAGAGTTCATCATGCCTCTGGATGCTTCAGCTTTTGGGCAGGTGCCTTCGAATGCACCAAGCCATTCATCCGGGACCGCCTGCGGGAGGGCAAAGATGTGGCCATCTTTGTGGGTGGTGCCCAGGAGAGCTTGGCTTCCTCTTTGTTCTCCAAGGCAAATCGTGGCACCCCAGCATGTTGGAATATGTTGAAGAAACAGGAAGGAACATAGAAGGTGGACTTGGGCCTCTTTGATACTTAAGGCCCACTTATTTTTGTTTACTGTATATAAATTAAACTTTGTAAAACATATAGACTTTATTATCAAATCGTCTCGTGAGTTTCCAGTTTATCTATATATATATATATACAGTACATATTTTGGACAACTCACGAGACGTGTCCTTTTGCCGTCGCTTCCCCTCAAACAAACAAAGCAGCGTGGCATGAGGGGACGGGACGGCTCCAGAGTCAGTCACAGTCTTGTGATCAAAACCCGCTTTCAGAGTAACACGGTTTTAGGGACCAAGGTGGTCAAAAAGCATTGTTCCAGAATCAGGTATTTTTGAGTTCCACGGTTCTTTTGGGTTACTGTAAGTGGCCAAAAGTTGCCATTCACTGTGCGAAAAAGAGACATCCGAATCATTCAGAATCCTTTTTTGCGCAGAATGCTTTTCTATCTGGAGAATGACAACAGAATAACTCCCGCAGTGCTCGGAGCCCAAAGACGCCAAAAGTGCTGAAACACCAACAGTCGCCGTCCATTCCTCCATCGATTAATCATCGACGACAAGGAAGTGGATTCTTGTCTTGTTGATTTGATGGACTTGATTTCAAGGAGAGCTCCTTTGCAAGTCCCAACCGCTATGTGTGCTTCATCAGCACTCACAAAGGCAGGTCGATAGTGAGGGACGGCCATTGTCATTCTTTTCACTCAAAATTTTATTCATAAGTTTTCCTGGACACTGGACAGCAGCACCTTGGAAGGGTTTTCATCCCAAGAACAGTTGCCATGCACTTCTTTGTCAAGCATGTCGTTGCCACAGGCTTTGTGCGACTTGCGCTAGAGGAACACCGTGATATATTGCCAATGTGGCTTGACCACATGAAGATTTAAATTGCACACACCGTGGATTCTAACATTCAATGTTTGGTGATGAAATGTGAGTCAAAACACATTTGTTTCTTGTCAGATCATTTGAATCTTGTGTTTTTTGTACCTCACTGTGGCATAGGCATAGACATTGCGTGCAAACCTTCTTGTGTGCTCTTGAGAACAGTTCTGCCATTGACGTCCTTGCGACCAAAACCTAACAACTAACTGACCAGCACAGAAAGTGACACAGGTCTGCTGGCTTACCCAAGATTCACAGGGTGGTTCCACTTAGAGACCAATTGGTGAAAAGAGGTTATATAAGGCTTAGCTTAAGGGGATGGTCCCTACCAATTTTAAAGCCCGGTAGTCCCTTCGTGGTTGGCTGAATGCAATTTGGATCTGTTGAGATGGACATACGAGGGCTTGGTGATGGTGTTGGAGGAGATTGCAAAGGGTTTGCGGGAGGGCTTGAATGCTCAGTTCCAAAAAGGCCATTGGTGAAGAGCCAAGCAGAAAAACATGCACTTTTCAATTTCACTTCATCCGACTCTGTCAACGCAGGCCTCAATGAAACAGTGCAGTTCGCTCCGTCATGTTTCTGGAAAAGGGTTCCTAGAAAGGTTTACTGTAAATTAAACATGCAAGGGACAGCTTGCATCAACACAACTGGTCAAAAGAGGGGTTACAACTTCCCTGTTTCTTTTTGAACACTGAATGAACACGAATCTTTCCAGCATTGTCTCCTTCATGCTGCAATGCTGCAGTGTCGCGAAAATACACAAGAACACATCCTTCTATTCTATGATGCAAAGCGCCGTTGGGGTCTGCCATGGAGTACGCTTGCTGAGAGATTGCCTTCTCCGCGTTTTGCATGATTGGTAGAAGCTGCTGTAAGTCGACAGCCAGTTGCGCACAGAACGAACACGCGGATTCCCATCTGGGGAAAGGAAGGTCTTAGCAACTTGCGGTTGAAGAGAGTATACAGTATACAATGGTAGATCAAGGCATGTCTTTTGGGACAAACTGCCAAAGAAAATCCTCAGTCCACAGCAGAGATAGACCATGCTGTTGCATCCCATCCTTTTCACAAGATGCAGCAAGATGCGATTTCGGTGGCCATGCTATGATATGCTATCCCATGCTATCCCTATGCTTGATCGCTTGATCAGTAATATCATGATTTGACGAGTCTTTGACAGACTTTCTCATGACGCATGCTGAATACGGGCGCTGCAAAAGTAACCGCTGAACATATGCTTCGTCCAGTGAGGTGGACCTTTGGTGATGAGTCCATTATGCCCCAGATCCTCCACCGGTAGCTCGGCTGTCAACTCGTAGCCTCAGGCTGTCCAGGCTCAGGCTGATCGTTGGTTGAGAATGGCTGAAGCCAGTAGTTGTGCCTTCCCTGTGATTCTTCAACAGGCCGGCATGGCTGGTAGCTTTGCAGAGTTTTTGGCGGAGCATCACCGGCATACAAGTTCCCCGTCATGCATTGCATTTGGAAACCTGTCGTCAAGAGGAGGAAACCTGTCGTGTTTGAGGTTCCCCCAGCTTTCTCTGGTTTTCCTCAATTGGTACCTTTGACTCTGGTCACAGGCGGGGTCGGTGGGGTGGTGGCACTCCCGACCGCATCCGACGGTTCAGGCGTCCCGGTCTCCTTGGAGGATCTTTGGCCGGCGAAGCTGGGAGATGCAGTGACAGATGCAGCAGTGGAGGAGGATGGAGGGAGTCGCTGTCTTCTTGAGTGTTTTTTGTCTTTCTGGCCTCCACCCTCCTAGCCCTCCAGAGAGTCTTGAGAATTTGGTTTTCCTTATTCGCTGCTTCTGGTTTTGTCACAGGGGCATCGGCGCTATGTGAAGGCCAGGGCCTTCTGAATTTCTGTTGACTTTAAGCTTTAGAATTAGAACTGCTGTCAACAGATTTTCAATACCTTCCATCTATTCTCATTCTACTCTTCCAGCTTTTTGACCAGGGAATGTTCCTTGAGAAGCATTTTTGGCTTGCATTGCTACGATTATTTATATCCAACTAAGCCACAGCTTTTCCAGGCGCAGCAAAAACTCTTCGATAGCAATAAGGCGGCACCAATGTGCTTTCCGTGTGTCACATGCGTGGAGTCCTTTTGGCTGTTGACCAGGCCTTGGTAGCGGGCGGCCACCAAAACGCGGTCATCGAATTTCTCTGAAGAAAAGCTGTATTTGGAGCGTTGCTTGACATGTTTCTTTGCTGCAGTTAATGTATCCCTTTGTATTTCCTGATTCCTCCAAGGATTCCAGAGGTACAACCATGAGGCACATCTAGAAAACAGACAGTTGGCATCTATGCATCAGCTGTCGCCAACGCCTTGCTTTGTATTTTTGCTCAAGCTCCTTGGCATCTGCATGCGGGCAGCGCCTTGGCACAATAGAGTTTGGTTCTGAGTTCGAGCTTTCCTCGCTTCGCTTCTCCAGGCGTAGATGGCCGGCTCTGCGCAGCCCTGCGACCGGCCCAGTGGGGTTTGGGCTACGTCGACGTCGAACGTGATCGGCTCTCGGTGACGGAGGCCCACGACGAGATGAACGACTGGCCAAGGCCAGCGCTGGCCAACGCAAGAGGTGCACAGGGGAAACGGATGAAACTCTTGACTCGGTGAAGCATCCAATCAGATCTTTGCAGTTCAGACCTCATGGGCCACACAGCCCGGCTATTTGACTCCCTTTTCCCTGCCCAGGCCACCCATGTATCCGCAGGCGCGAATTGGAAGGGGAATGTCAATATGAAAGGTTTTTTCCCCTTACAAGTGAATAGAGATCGGAGCTGCTGATCAAGTGGGGATATGTGGAGTCAAACAATGTCACACATATTCACATACAAATCAAGGTGATTCCACTTGCTTCCTGAAGCCAAGGAGCCGGGCCTCGTGCACCCTGACAAGCGAAACGAAGAAGAGAGACAGAGGCCAGACACGCTCAGAGAGGAGTCAGCTTTGCGTTTTGGATTCTTTGGGAACAAGCTTCGAGATGTTTCGATCATATTCGATCCCGTTTTCCTGCTTGTGCCCTCGCCTCTTCGTTTTTATGCTGTAGAACTTGTGCTCCAGGCTTCTGCTGAACGAACTGCTCGAGTCCAAACCTTGGTGTAAACCTACGTATCAGTGTGCAAAGCCGCCATTGATGCTCATCTCCCGTGGCTTACATGGAACGAACTGGGTTGAGTTGTAGCTCACAGTTGAGGTTCTGAGCGATGGCTTTTGATGCACTTGTGTTTGAACTTGTCTTATTTATAGGTCCAGTACTGCAACAGCAACAACGCTCTGCGCTCAATTTGCAGGGACGCAGTGCATGGCGTAACCGGCGTAACCTTTCTTCTGGCCTGAAGCGTCGATTGTCCGCCCAAAGCGAAGTATTTGTCCGAAGCGAAGCCTTCGCCTGCCAAGGCCAGAGCAGAATCATGTAACGTTTCAGCCTTACCAGTTGCCTTAGATCCAGTAGATCGCAGTAGAGCTCCGTGTTCTTCGCGCTATTCGTCCTATTTGCTGCTTTCTCTTGGCTCGTGGCTATTTCACATCATTTCACCACATCAAACAGATGTCTGCTGTCAGAGTTTGATTTCATGAAGGTTGCTCAGGAGGCTGATGACAATGCCAATGCAAGATATACCAGTCAAATCCTCAACGCCAACACCTTTCAAAAAGAATCTCAGCAACATCAAGTTTGAAGAAGAAAAACACAAGCTCAAGTCTAGGATGTCTCATAGTCTGACATCCAATGCTTTTCCGGGAATGAAAGACCCCTTAGTCGTTCACAGAGTCCTCTCCAAGGTCCCTGGAGGGGAGACATCCCAGACGTCCGGTTCTCAGCATCTCCCGTTCGGCACCAACCCAAGAGCGATGGAAAAAAACTATGTTTTGAATGTAAAGGCTCTTGAGCTGATCAGGAGCTCGGCAGCATTTACACCAGCCAGAGGACAGACTTTTGTGACATTTAATGACATTTATCCAGCCATAATTCTATTATATTTTTTCTGTCAAACATTCTTAGTGTAGACCGTAATCACTGGCCTCTTTGCAAGGTTTGGAGGACGATGAGTCTGAGGCCTGCGTCCGAACCAATATGCCAAGTTGACACTGAATGTGAATCAGTGCAAAATATCAGAGGCTTTCAAAGTGGCGATGCAAGCCAAGAATTGGAAGAGCGTGAAGGCGCTTATTGAAGAGCCAGAGTGCGATACCCACAAGTGCAGAGCAGACACTTTGGACTTGAATTGGGCTTGATAAACAAAGCAGCAAGTCTGGCATTGCTTTTGGCATGCTCGTAGAAACCTAGGCAAGTGTGGATCCTGGCTTGCAGCCCAAGCGGTTCCCGTCATTTGCAGGAGGCCATCAGGAGGATCAGAGTTGCATTTCTGCTCAGGGTCCGAAATTGTCACTGATGGAGGAGCTGTTTGCGGATTTGATTTGAATACGTTAGACTGAGAAGCTTTTTAGATGCTTGACCCTTGGCCAGCTCCTCAAGAATGGTGAGAAGTCAAGCCACACTGCTCAGCAACAGCAGGTGGGGCTGTCGGTCAAAAACCATGATGAGGTGCATGAGAATATTCCCCCCTAGTCATGTCGGATATTCACTTGGTGTATAACCGGGTTTTAACTCATACGCAAACGAGAAAAATGAGGCTGAGTACAGATTTGATGCAATCCATTTTGATTGCACCATCAAATCCCTCGCCTGAGCCTTGCAGCTTCTTGTGCTTTTGGCATCTCCGTACTTACAACCACTTGTGCTATTGACAGGCAGCTGAGGAGTGGAAAGCAGCTGTGGACAAAGCCGCTCCCCAGTGCATATGTCGCGTTGTTTCGCGTTGTCCGTGTGCTTGCGAGCCCCATCGTTCATCAGCAAGCACTCTTGGAAGGAAAGTTGTTTGCATGTCACTGATTCACTGATCCTGCTTGTTTTTTGGGTCGTGTGCATACAAAGCTGCGATGAAAGGTGTCAGAAGCGTTGGCGCAACTGTACCAACGTTGGGCAGAATATGAGTTGAACATCATGACTATGAGTCTGGGATACTGCCAGTCTCCTTCTTCCTGCAGGCATTCAAAATGAGTGTTGTTCCGAGACTGTTCTGTCGCTCCTCCCCACTGTCGTACAGTGTTTTGTTCAACGAACTTGGTATTTGCAAGTCGCTCCCTGGGACCCTGGTCTCATCCATGGTGGGTGTTTGGGTGTCTTGTGCTCGTGCATGTCACTTCCGGATACAGTTTAAGCGAAATCCATTGTTTGCCGCAAATCTGTGCGTTGGATGCATTGCGTGTGGAAGACACGGAGACACGACGTATCAATGACATTTCCTCCGAGTTCGAGTTCGTGGCAGCAAAAGCCTGTGGCTGCCAAAAGGCTCCCAAAAACAAGAGTGGAATGTAGCCTAAAGAATAATTAGGGAGCAGCTTGAGATGCTTGAGCAAGAGGAAGCCAAGGAAGCCAAATGCCAACCACTTTGGCTGGCGAAGAGAATGAGAAGCAAAGCCTCCCCCTTTGAGCAACGCAGGGATCCCTTTTGCCTGACCGCGATTCTGCTCAAAAGGATTCATCAGCATCTTCGACATCAGCTCTAGTTACTACATGTTACTACTAGTGTTGCAGGTATCTCCGAAAGATTGTTGACTTGCTCATACCGTCTCATACTTGTAGGATTTTGTAGGAAACAAGGGTTTTTAATGCAGTGTGGACAGAACAACATCAACGAATAAAGGCAAACACAACCTCAACAATAGTCCCACAGGATCTCCCCACTGGCGAAACCGATTCTGGACGTGGCATGTCACGCCGCGCCGCAAGCCTGCAACACTAGAGCTTGCCCTTCGAAAGCTTCATCATCCGGGCAGTCACGGAATGTGTTCTTCACTGGAACCCGCAATGAACTGCAATGAACAGCAGAAAGCACCTCGAGAAGTGGTTTCCACTGGCAACACACCCCACCCGCTCCCAAGTTGGCCAAGCCCGGAGAGAGCTTCGAGATTTTTGGGCGTCGTCCGGAAAGAGATGCGACGGGTTGTGTTTCGGAGTTTCAGACATGGACCGCATGGACTGTGAAGCTTCTGAGCAACATCCGTGTTAAGCTTCTTTGCTTAACAGCTTGTCCCACTTATCCATTGTACCGTGCGATCTGCGACTGCTTGCCATGTCAACTCGGGGAGTCCCGAGCGAACAAACGAAACCTGAGCCATGGACGCTTGGAGCAATGCTGATGGTGCACCGCTCTGAATGGATTCTGCACTAAAATCGCTGTCGTGACTCTGACAAAGTTCAAGTCAAGTCACTCTCAGAAGCTGAACTTCTGTCCAAAGAAACCATTTCAGTTGTGACCGGTTTTTGAACACCAGTTGATCGGAAGAGAACCAATCCAGTAGCAGCTGACAATCCTGCACTGGTTGCAAAACAATACATAATACACCTGGGAAAAAAGACAACTTATAATATATATAAAGACAAATCCTGCCACGATGGCTGACATCAGTCCAACGAGTGTCCAAAGATTCTCTCTGAACACTTTGGTTTAAGGAGGTGGCTGACACCAAGCCAAACAAACCTGGGCGGAAAGCAACTTGGAACAGTTTCGCAAGAAAACCTTGCATCGCAGAAGTCGACACAACAGAGCCAGCCAGGACACTAATGATCACGAGCGTTGTGAAATGCAGTTTTTGTCATGGCAAACAGGGTCGTCTCTGCATGACACCTTCGCGTGGCGGTTGTGGCGCTTCTGCATGCTGCATAAGGTCGTCTCCGGACTTCAAAGCCATGTTCTGGAGGCACCCTCACCATCACAGACTTGCAGAATCTTGCAGACCATATGAGTTGTGATGATTTGTGTGGTCCTGGTCTTTTAGACCTCGTGTTGATTGGTATTGAACCCTTTACTGCAGCCTTGAGCTCGATAGCATGGTGCTGAGAAGATTCTGGACCAGTGTCCCTGTGATTTTGTCAATACTGATCTGACAGCAAGCAAAACTATCCTTTTGCAAAAAGATACACACCTAATACATCCTAATACAAAGCAGGGTACATACAGAGTAACACTCGATTTTTCCCTGCCTCTGTTGCTGATGGCTTCTCCTTACCAGGGAACAGGCCTGATGCCAGGAATAGCTGAAAAAGCGAGACACATGGCAGGGATCACGAATTGGGTCCATCCTGCTGTGGCCTTGCTTCCTCCAGCAGG